GACCGCTCGCGTGGTAAGCGCGCCACTTGCCACTTCACCACCTCCGCCCGAAAATGAAAATGATACCGCTACACTAATGGTGTAACGGTATCATTGCATCATTGAAGTGAATAGTGAATATCACAAAGAAAAAAAAACTGGTCAACCATAGCAGGTGAATCATGGACCGAGTGTTGCAATTGTAGCACGCTTGTCCCGAAAGACGAGTTTTGAAGTTACTCCTGACTTAGGTAAAGGCCCTAGATCGGTACTCCTGTAGTAACTTTCACATCGAAAATTCAATGAGCCATTAATAAAGTGTGAAGCTAAAGAAGCGCTAGCAATTACCTAGTGCAACACTGGTTCTAGCGCTTCGTTATAGCCGATTTGATCTTGAAGGCAAGCAGAGTTACACTCGCCTTAATTGTTTAAATGGTGTTACTTAACAAAAGCCGCGAGAAAAACCACAGAGCTTGAGAGCTAGTAAAATAACGCGAAGCAAAAAAGTGTTTGTGTAATCAAAGATGATTGAAAAAATTGAAGTTTGTAAGTAGCTATCGCTTGAGCTGGTTCAGTGCAGGCAAAATCGCACCTTCAAGGTGTCGTCATCATTCCTTCTACGTGACAAGAATGACTATTTTCTGTATTGTCTTGACACATGCGACCAAACCTGAATTCCCCGCGACAACTGGCGAAGAAAGGCTGTTTAGTAGTTGTGATTATTTATTTATTCATCACTATGCACTTGAGGTACACCATCACGAGTAGAATATCATTGTAATTCATATTCACCAGAATTAAGGACAAACTGCGCGATCCTGTGAAAATGAATGAAAAAGTGTTATGCGTCCGTGGAAAAGAGAAGCAAATTAGCCAGAAACCCGAGAGACCCAGTCTCTGACTGATTGGCTCGTTGATTCCATGTTTGGACGAGTTGACCATGGCTGGTAGCGCTTCGATGGTCGTTGCTGAAATTTGCCTTGTGGCCATACTATTAGTAGTTATTTCATACTTTATCGTCATTGTTATAATAATATGTACTCATACTATTCAATAACCGTAAGCGAACTGAAGCTGAATTTAGTAAGATTTCAAGGTCAGGTGGCCTGACATGGAAACGGTATCTGGAAGAAAATCATGCAACATTTCTAGGGCTCTGTAGTATGTTCCGTTGGATACTTTTTTTTGAAGGTCCCCCACAGCTATGTTGATAAGGCTCTTCTGCCGTCAAAGCACCTTGTATCGTCCTTTTTGACTCTCCTCTACCTTCTCCACTACCCACCTTTCTGAACATTTTGTCCATAGATCAACATTGCGAGTTTTGCCTACAAACTCTGACCAAACCAATGGTGAAGGGCTTGTAGTATGACGCACAGGAAAACCCAGGAAAGAAAAGCAACAGCTAGAAGAAATTTCAGGGTTCGATAGGCGTGTCAGCTGTGGGGATAGCAACGGTATCTTGAACTAATCTTGCTTAGGGCTAGGTTTAAACTGGAGTGCATGCCACCATCGTATTCCTAATTACGCTAGAGCCACCAAACGCTCCACAATGTGTGACACAATGAAGAGTGAGCGGTGAACAATCGTATCTATACTTCCAAACAAGCTATATGAAAGCAGTGTCACTACCATTACTATCCCTTAGCAACCAAGAGCTTCAACGTTGAAAAAAGTAGAGTCAGTGTGGCCAACGCGACCAGTCGAAGCCGTCCCGATTCGTTTTCTCCCGAAGCTAGGCACGTAACTTGGAAATGAAAACCAGACCCAAGTGGCAAGTGGAAAAAAGCAGGCTGCTTGTCGACTTAACTTCCATTTGAAAGGCGGATTTTACGTTGAACAGGTAGCCTATTGGGAGTAGGTTAGATATTATAAGTGGTGCACACCCGATGTTTTCGCATTGATGCGACTCGCACCGGTGCTTCCCTCTTCAACGTCATCGCCGTCTCTCTTCTAAAAGGTTAGAGACTTAAATAGCGAGGAGGGGCGGGGCAGGGCTACCCCGGCAATAGCGCCCATGTTGATATTGTTTTGGGTGGCTAATGCTTTAACAACCAAAGCGAGTGGATTCTTTTCCAATGATCTCATAACTTAGGAGTTTTGTGATGAAAAAATAAGTCGACTTACAGCTTGCCGAGAAAAAAGTACAAATTCCAGCGGTTTTTGTTCCATTTTATTCCGGATACACAACTTAGATATTTTGCTTCGGAAGAAAGTCGAAAATTTGCTTCGGTTTCTGAGCAGCATATCGCTTTACTCTGGCAAATACCGTTTTGGGACATCTCACAAATGTCACGTGTCTGTAGCTGATAGTGGGTATTGAGTGTGTTCTGTGCCGTTAGCGAATCTTGACTGGAAAAATGTTGGGTGCAGCAATAGTGGATTACTAAATCGCTTCCAGTAGTTTTTATATATACTTAAATTAGGCTGATCTTTGAGCTGAAATTTTCTCCGGAAGGTATACTCGATATCCGAAAGTTGGGGTAGGCGTGTCACCGGAAGTGACGTGCACTTGATAGAAGCTATGTGGATAAGCTGCTTCCAACATACATCGCTGGATATCAGCAAAGCATGCTGGCAACAGCTTATCCACAACTTCTATCAAGTGCACGTCACTTCCGGTGACACGCCTACCCCAACTTTCGGATATCGACTGTAGAAGGAATTTGTTATTGTTCTACATCTTTTAGGAGCTCAAAACCTTCAACGTCCTCAGAATCTGAGAATCCAGTTTCCATCTCAAGTGATGCTCTTTCACCGAGAAGATCCAGGTACGGGTCTCAATTTTTTTCGTGTCTCCATGAAATGCATGCTTGTAGCGTATTATAGTACCAGTTGGCGCCGCACGCGTTGCGCGCACAGCACAGTTCTGCGGCGATATAGGATGGTGCGGCGTGAATTTTCGAATTTGGCCCAATACACTTCGAATATTTGACTTTCAAGCTGAATTCTATCCGATTGCCCCATGCTTCATCCACCGATGGCTTTTGACCTTCCCTCCTTCCTCCACCAATTGTCCGTAATCGTCAACCAATTGTCCGTTTTTCCCGGCCTCGGACTGCCTCCGGACCGATTTATGAACCTCGTGGTAAACTCCGCCTATTTCTTTGCATGTCTCACCTATCTCCCAGTCTTTGAACTATCCTGAGCCGATTTATAATTTTGGCGGCGAATCCTGCTCTTTTGGTGTATCCTCCGCACACCATTAGAAATTCACTTCCTTTCCTTCGCCCACTTCTCTCCCGGTCTTCAGGACTTCTTGCAGCCGAGTCACAAAGTTTTGTGGAGAACTCCGCCCACTTTGGAAATGCCCCGCCCACCAATGACAGTTGGGCTCCACTCCTTCACCCACCTCACCTTTTTCCCGGCCTCCGGGACTTCTTGGAGCCGAGTTATGAATTTTCGTCGCAAACTCCGCCCACTTTGGTCAAGCCCCGCCCACCGATGACAGCTGGCCTCCACTCCTCCACCCACCTCTATCCACCTTTTTCCGGCTCTTTAAGACTTCCCCGGCCCGAATTATGAGGACTTGTAGAAAATGCTGTACACTTCAGAGCGCGCCCCGCCCATTCTGGGCGGGCCTCCGCCCACGTCATGTATGCAGGAAACACCTTAGACATGCTTCCCACACTTCATATAAATTGCATCATACATTACTACGAAGTTATCGCAGTGAGTCCGCTGTAGTGCTATTGCTCTCAACGCGTATGAAATTTTTCATTGACGCCATATTTTGGATGCCCGAGAGGTCTTTAAATTTCCTACCACCTACGAATACCCCGCTCACCGAGGGTGGGTTTCCCTAATTCGATGTGACACCAATGCACACCTTTACCCACTTTTTGGCCCAGTTTCAAGGTCGTTTTCTAAGAGAATTGAAATCTCGGTCGTCAGTACACTTCATTTCGACGCACGCCACGCCCACTGTGGGCGGGGCTCCGCTTAGCTGATGTGTGTTTTGTACTTCGTGAGACCTTGCCCACCCATCCCACACTTGACCCGGTCCCTCCAGGCGGATCCCGAGGAGCTAGGGAATTTCGTGACAGACATACAGAACGACAGACAGACGACAGACGACAGACGAAGCGCTTTATAGTAAGTAGGATAGGATAGGATGTTAGGGATACTCCACTACATTACGAGACTTCCCCTCGATTAAAATTTCAACATTTCTGAGCGCTCTCCCCGTGAGATTCTCCGGTGTGTTTAACTGCTTAGGCCTCCTTTTCACGTTGTTCAGTTTCCGTTTTGCTATACTTGCGTAAATTTAGCGGGGTTCCTCCCTCGTTTCATTTTTCTGGGTTTCACCTTTTTTCTACTCCATTCTCTTTCGGGTATTTCACTTTACTTTTATTAATTTTCTTGCGCCTTTCGTTTCGAATACTGACCTAAAATTCCTTTTGCATTCCTTTCTTTGGATTTATGCTCATTTCCTTTTTTTCGCTTTCTAGTTTTTTCTTCAATACAGCGCATTCATTGTTTCATCCGTCCCATATCATTGGAATCTTTATTTTTCCCTGCTCCAATCAATTTTAAAACTGTTCCCCTTGCGCGCATGGCTACGCGTGCTTGCTTATATCTATTTATGCTATGAACTATAGCAGTTGCATAAGTTCATAATTTTTCATTTCGGCTTACTCACACTATCGATTATTACTCACAACTTGCTTCTGCTATGTTATTTTATCCATCAAAAATTTAATCTTTCGAAGTTGAACGCATCAGAAGAATACTCCCCTAACCGCTCGTCTTTCTTAAGCCTTTATTTATTTATTTTCATATATTCATTATCCTGACGACAGTTGACGAATCACTTCAAAGAAGCCACATATGTTTTTGCAATCGGATTTCAAGCATTTTCTCAGTTTAGTGCACGACGACAGGTGGCCGGTGATGGAGATGACTCCACTTCGACTTCATCTGAATCGTAAGCGGAGATATAATAGCTGTTGACTTCTTCAGAAGTGTTTCTCAAGATGGTTTAGAGTTGTAAAATTGCAAATCTTCTCTTCAGAAACTTAAGGCAAGTGGAGACAAATAAAAGTGCAAAATTCAGCACTCAAAAACATCAACGAGGTCGCAAGATACTAACTAGGTGAATAGATGTTTTCGCTTCTTACACGTTGTTGCTATGTTTTTCCTTGGAAATATTCGTATAGGTGCTCTAGTATCCTTTTCTCGTTAGTTATACGAAATTTCTGTTTATCTAGGACTCCCGTGTCGTCTCATAGGAAGCGCAATTCCTCTTCGGATCAAGATTTGGCTGATGCGCCTGATCCTACGCCTTCCACATTTCACAGTTCTTCAGTGTCAGAGTATGTTTCAAAATTTTATGACCAACAGTATATCTGAATGGGCAATCTAATCCATTGTTTGTCGCAATTCCCAGTTTACGTCTTTTTCACAATTTCCCCGAAAGTGGAATCAACAAAGTTGTGTAATGTTGAGGAATTGCATGCAGGTGTCGTTCTTCTGCTTAACCGTAATTTTTTGCAGCTCCAGAGAAGAGACCGTTGCAACTACGTCGACATCTTCCCTTCGGAGATCTGCTAGGGAACCTAGACCAAAGCGAGCTCTTAGTCCCAACCCCAACGAGTCCAAAACGCCGACCTCGCATGAAGAAATCGAGTCTTTCGCAAGGTAGTTTTCCACTGTTTTTTTTTTCATGAAACTGTCACAACAATTCGCTATCGCAACAGGTGTGTCCCTTGGAACAACATTCTGCTATTGCACACGTGTGGCCTTCCTTGGCTAATTTATCCTTTTATTGGCTTAGCTTCAGGGTGACGATGTTAAGGAAAACGAAACTGCTCGGGACAAGGAAAAATCGGGATCGAAGGGTTAGTTACTTAGCTTTTAATGTTTAAATATTGTTCACCTGTGTGAGATTTTCAAGGTCACTTTTAATGTTTAAATATTGTTTACCTGTGTGATATTTTCAAGGTCACTTTTCATGAGTTGCTATTATTTTAGGAAGTGGTTTTGGGGATGTCGGCTCTACCTCACCCATGTCTCCTCGTGCTTCTCTGCTGAATGCTGTGAGTTTTTTTTTCGATGTGATGTGTGGCTGTTGAGGAAAGTGATACCTTATTCGATTTATAGCTCTAGAGAGGGTTGCGAGCATAAGTGGTGTAAAGGCAAGTAACGCTGGTTAGCCCGTGCATGATTCAGGGCAAATTTTGGTTCCTACGCCGTCAGGTTAAAAGCCTTTCTAGTCCTCCGGCTGTTCCCGCAAGTCATTGTATAAGGCAAACCCCGTTAAAAATCCCACCACGGTCAGAATGAAATTGCATGTATGGCGCCCAGAAAGGGATTGATCAAATGCGTCATTCTTCATCCCAATGTTAGGGGAGTAGCTTTTTCTTCTCTTCAGTGAGCTCTTTACTGATTGCTCACTTCGAGTTCATCACGTAAATTATTCACAAAGATTGTGCAGAAAATTATAATATTTTTGAGCGGATCAATGCAATGCGTTTCCATTTGTAGTATATCTGCTGCTCTGTGCCTATTCGCTCCGTCCGTATTCGCTTTTACTTTCAGGATGAGGATAACAGTGATCACACTAATGGCTATAGACCCGTTCAACCTATGGAGGTCTCGGTTGAGGGCGGTGACGAGCAAGTCGTTGCTGACGACGATATGGAAAACGATCTTGTTGACATTCAACCGTTTGAGACTGGCGAAACTGTCAACGAGGTGTTTATGACTGCGAGTTTCTCAAGGCGGGACGCTGTTCAACACGTAAACGTTAGCGTTCTGACGTTGCCGCAGTTGTCAGAGAATATCGAACACTCAGCGGAGGATCCCTTCCGGCAACGAAGTACGGATGGTCCTGTTCCAATGCTGGATAACGAAATCATTGTGAGCTCATCGCCATCAGGTCTTGAAATGAATAATGAGGAGCTCAAGTTGAATCCGCAAGAAAAAGGAGTTGTTGTGGAAAGTGGATCTGGTCAGAGCTTCGTACATGATGACGAAATCGGCTCGTCACTTGAAGTGTTCAACGATGAACGCTGTGAGTCTTACGGAACAGCCAGCGGCAGAGATTTTACGTCGGAAGATATAAATAATCATATGGAACCTCCAGTTCTGGATGGTCCTATAATAGATCCGTCAACCTATGACCTGAAACCTGGCGTCGATGCCCCGCCGAAGTTGATGGCTGATGGGGTGCTGACGAAAGAGACTCCTAAACCGGTAAGTAGCACACGTTCTCAGCGTTTCTTTAATGTTGTTTCTTACGGTTTGTTTTCAACGCTGCTTCATCTGAAAGTTCACCCTATCATAACCAGCCTTTTTATAGATGCACTACGTTGTTGGAGAGATTTATAGGGTTCATACTCCAAACGGGACAGAACAGGAGGTCCAGTTGGCTGTTATGGACGATGGTAATTTTTTCTTTCATGCTTTCATAATTGTTTTCTCTGATTCATTTATAGATTTATTGTGTTATAAGTTCGCAGAAAGGCCACTTTCATGCCGATCCTTGGTCAGGAGCTTAGGATCAGGCGTCTGCATAGACACCAAGTCGGATTTGTGATTTGTATAAAATTGAGGGAAGGGGATCAGATTTCAACGAATATTTTCAGTATAAGATTAAGTACATTTCTCCAAAGAAGTAGCAGAAAGGCATACTGGCAAGCACGCATGCGAGTACAGGGAAAATCGATTAGGCAAAGAAGAAAACCTGAAAATTCCAACGAGAGTTTGTGTGGACCGTGGAGGGCTAACTTATCGGACGCGCTAATACATGCTTCAACCTCGTATTAAAAGCAGAACTTTCTGTTTTTGCCCTTCAAAACGTTTCTGAATTTCAGGATCTGAAGCTCTGGTGAATGCCAATGGAGAAGTAGTGGATTTAACGCCAGAAGATTCTTATGCTACTATTGACATCTGTGATATTGACTTCAACTTTCTCGACGATAAGAATATTGTTTGTGGGTTGTGTGGAGAAGTGGTAGTGTACAGTACACTCTTCACGATTCATCTCAGTCGGGTACATCCAGAGGTACCACATTCATTTTTCTATTCAATGTGTTCATGAGGAGCCAGATATGTGACGGCTCCAGCTACCTTACGTGGAATTCTTGAAGAGAAAGTTGGAAGCAGAAAGAAAGAACATACAGAATGGATTCAAGTGAGTTTTTTCTCATTCAAATATTATGTTAACCGTGGTGATGACTTTATGTTGACGTTAGCATAAACTCATTAGTTGTATTGTGCCTTGCCAGGCTGTTAGATGGAACTTTTCTTTGATCGGCATCTTCGTCTTCAAAGGCGCGAAAGTCTTCAGTTGTTAGAATTAGCTCTATTTCACCTTTAAACGCTCCATAAACTCGAGCCGTTTCCGACATACTGTCAGTAACTCTTTGGGAATATACATATTTGGAACAGTGGTGAAGGTAAACTCAGCGACTGTCCCTTCATGTAAGCAAAAAGTCCGCTTACCTCCCGCTGATTTATAAGTGTAGAAAAGAAATTTTCTGTGTGTCCTATACTATGAATAAATGTAAAAATATGGGTCATTCTACAGCTCATAGTGTGTTGTAGATGGCAGGATGTCTTTCGTTATGATACCCCCTCGATGTTCATTCAATAAATGTACTTTGCCGACTCCTTTGAATACGAGGGCTTCTATTCGGCGCTTGTAACGACAGCGAACCTGCGTACATGCGCCCTTCTAATTATTAGGTTGTAAGAGAAGTTCTGGTCGTTGCGGACCCTGAAGTTCCAATGTGCTAGCTCTCGACTCGACTCAAACGCAACGTTTGCGATCGCAATAAAAACCAGTTGGATCTACTTTCCTTGCGAACATTTCATGTGTTTGATCAATCCGTTCACTGGAAGTACTGGAGTTCTAGAGGCGATGAACTCGGCGAAGGTCGTTTCACCATCATGTTAGATTTCGTAGCATTTTCCCCTTTAAGGTGCTATCCAGACCGTTGAAAAAGTGGCGGTGAATAGGAGAGGTCTACGGAGTGGGGCGTTTTAGACATAGTTCAGTGCTTAAGCTAGTTCATTTGTGGCAGGATGGCCACACTTCTGGGCACCCCAGCCGTTGACGCGCTCTGACGGTCTGAGCCATCGGTGCAGATAGCGGAAAAAGAATGGCCCCTGTGTGCACTCCTTGCTTGGTCGAAGCGCCAAGATAGGCATTTCTACATCATGTCAAAGAATATGTCTCATCTATACATTTCCGTCCTCGCGCCTGCTGCCAGACGCGTAACATCAGCCGAATAACGCTTCTCCTCGCGCAGTTTCATCTTTGCGAAATTTTGTTGACCCTAGTCGTGGATCGAACTACCCACCCGAAGTTCGTAGGTTATTGAGAAGAATCCATTCTACATTCACAACTCACAATCCGAACAAACACGGGTCGTTTTCATTGAATGAAAGATTGAGAAGAAAGGCAGACGGCCCTACGGAACCGCGATTTTTCGCGACACCTCCTTATCGACTTTTCCGTGCTTTTTAAGCTATCCCATGTAACTTGAAACCACAAATCATATACGCTCAATTCGGTAGCAGTCTTCTCAACTGTTTCAAGCACATTTGGTCCCATCAAATGTTCCAGGTAATTTTTACCGAAGTTCGACATCCAACAATCACCCTCGCCAACTTCGAGGCTATCGCCATCCCTACACAAGCTTTCCAAAGTATCGCTTCATGACTTATTTTCCGCAAATGCGTGGCCAAATAACAGTTTATATCGTGAGCTTATTGCGGTCCTTTCTGCCCTATTCGAGGTAGAAGAAGAAATCGTGAGGATTCGCTTGATGAGCATGTTGTTTCAAGGCTTTAAATAAGTAGAAGTAGTCCCTCTAGGCCAAAGCTTATTGCGTATTTGGATAGAGCAAAAAACGCGCTTTCTAAAGATATGCAACTCGTAGCAGTCTGCTGAAAACTTAGCCAGAAATAATGCCATGAACTTGAACTATCGAAAACGGCCAGAACTTTCCTTACAACCTAATATTTGGTTATAAAAGTCAATAGGAACATCAATGGGTTCTTTTTGGTCTTTGTGAGTGAAACTGCTAGGGATGGTGAGGCGCGATGAAAGCTACAGGCTACCGAAATAAACAACGTTCGGCGCGCTGGATTCGACGATGCTAGTGGAAACGTTGAAGCAATTCATATAAATCCATGACTCAGCAATCCGCCAACATGCTTTGCAAATGCGCAATTAATAGACTTCCATCTAAATATGTTGAAAGAAGTAGGAAAATACAGTCGAAGAATGGGCCACGTAAAATTACGTTTCATCTCTATTGGTAGCGATATCCGAATAACTGGGCGTGACCTAATGAGCGTTAACAAGCTCTGGAGGATAACGTCTTCTGAATTGCAATGGACCGCCATGTTCAGGTATTCAAAGCAGTCAATTTCCGAAAGAACTCCACGCAAGTAGTCAAATTCGATCAAACTCCTTCGAGAAAGACTCTTCCCATAGAGTTGCCCGTCAACGGACAAAGCTGTTGAAAACACCTGGCGCAGTAGTAAAGAGATTTACTGCTTTTCAGCGCCGTTAGATTACCTAATCCCTTCTTACGCGCATGCTCTTGTGTTTTGTATGAATGATGCCTTCTGCAGGTGAGGGTGTCTCTTGTCGACAAAGAGCACGTCAAGTGTGGCATATGCAGCTCTGTTATCTCGATTAATAGGAAGTTTGAAGTGAGTTGCGGTGTATGAATTTCGAATTCTTTTATGAGCTTAGTATTTTGCCTTCTACTGGTAGAGTGTTCTATTTTCGACCATTGAAAGCAAGAAGTTATTCTGACTTATGAATTATGAATGAATGAAGTCATTTTTAGATTGTTCATGTCGTTCGACACTTTAACGCTTGGCACCCTACTAACCATCAGTGTGCTGGTCAATGGCAGAAACGATCCCAAAGGCCTGGAGTTGGAAAACCGCTTTCGAAACAGGTAATTCATTCAGCATTCACCAGGCTAAATGCTTCCATCCATGACACTGAATAAACGCTATTCAGGACTTCGCCGTGATTGACTTGTCGCATACGCAGCCTGACAATCTACAATGTATTTGGTGTGGAATGTTCATTGATGCCACAACCATAGCAGTCCATTTCACGGAGTGCCACGCCGGGGAGGTTGAAGTTCCGAAATGCCTGCTCTGCATCCAGGTATGCAATGCATCGCATTTATTTTCTCGCGCTTTTGATTCTGTGTTAAAGGCGCGCTCCAGGATTAGGCAGGCTTACCTGTTCCATCCCTGAGCGCAGTAGACAGGCACACGAGCGTTGATGTCTCCCTGTTAGCGGTTGAAAGTGGCCGACAAATACGCTAAAAGCTCGCTTGGTTCGCAATCCACATCTTCGTCCGCAAGCCCCGCCTTCCGCTGTCTCTTGCCACGTGGCGCTGCTTGAAAAGCAGGGCGCAGTTGCGGAGATTCAATGTCATTGGCACTGGAGCAACTGAGCTAGGCTCGTGAAACTCGTCCAACACGCCCCTTCTCTATCCCAAGGTGGAATGCGGCTGAAATAGAGGAGGTCCTATACGGGGCGTAATCTTTCGTTTTCTTTTCTTTTCTTGACCCTCCTCACCTTCCAGCTTTATCTGAACGCTCTTACACACCCATTTGATCCCAAAGCTTGTCTTTAAGTGCGCAGGGAGGCACTAAGCAAGGAACACAATTGACAAAACAGCAAGCGTACTATTTTGATTGTGGATTTCGCAACACACCGCAAAAATGCAAAGGATGTCTGAAATAAAAGGTTCTAAAAGCAGCGGTCGCGATGGCTGAGAGACGGAGATGGGATGGACACGTCTTCGATGGAAGAGCATCGTCAATGGTGGGAAATGTCAAGAGCCTGGCTAACTATTATTACTCTGCTCCTTTTCACCTATGACGCGTCCGTTTCGTCTCTACCTCTTAGTGAGTGCGACCGCTGCTTCAAAGGGCTTCTATTCTAGGCACACGTGCACTATATTTCCCTTCCATGTGTTTTCCAAAATCCATGTTCAAAATATTACATTCATTGTTTTTTTTCAGTTGGCTTCCTTTATTAATGCTTACAGTAACAACAGATTGTAACATTGACATTACATGTTCAAAATGTTCTACACTCTGTCACTTTCAGGAACTTGTTATAAACGCACGTGTCATCGAAAAATTCGGCTCAGACTTTGATATCGTGCTCCCAGATGAATTCCACATCAAAGTCGAAAAGCTTAATAAGCTTTTCACGTCTGAATCACAAATGGACAGCGTACGTATTTATTTGTGTTCTTTTACTAGTCTTATTATCATTTTTTTTTCAGGCTATTGAAAAGTACCTGGACACTCTGAATGGAAAGCGAAAAAGAGCTCCTCTTACTGTGGAGCGCAGAGTTTTCGAAGGAGATTCTGTTGTGGTGCACCCACCGCCATACCCGGAGACGATGACTCCGTCGATGGACTAGATGAGGAAGTCCTCACGCGACCGCGAAAGCCTATAACGGTAGTTGTTGTCATTTATAGTTATAGTCGACAGTCTCTTTGTGATAGTCTGATAACTTTGCTTACAGACCAACAGCCGTCAAATATTTGTCGACATTGTATATTATGCGAAAGCGGAGTTATGGTACAGCCAATCTACGGTAGGAATCAATTGGAATCTTCGCTTCTCTGTTACAGGTGTTTATTTTATTTATGTTTATTTATTTATTACGTTGCATAAGGCAATCGTGGGAAATACAATCGTGGGAGATATAATAAATCACTCATGATACAATTAAAACTCATTATGTATTTATTTATTATTTATTGGTTGTGCTTTTTCGATTTTCAAGAGGCTAAGCTCCACTACAATGCTGGATATGTGAGATGGTGACATATAATCACATTGGAATGCCAAAATTTGTTGATGATGATCTGTTGTATGGAGCTGTTGATCTCTGGGCAAACTAAAACTGATAGTGCCAAGTCTCTTCCTTTCCCACTCATCAGTTTTCGTTCAGTGTTTAGGGTGTGATAATAGTTGCGGAGCGTCATCATTTGTTAGCAGACGCCTATACAGGCATTTCCAGTGAAGCACTAAGAAGTCGACAGTCAATATTCGATCTCGAAGATGTAGAGTAAGTGGTTGTAAGCAAAAATCAACGCTTCTAAGCACTTCAAGTTGGTGTTTCGCCGTTTTCGGTACGTCGCCTGGATCGAATAAGTGATGGATGCATGGAATTCGTACATCCGCAGATGCTCGAGTGTCTTATCTGCCATCTCACTTATCAATTGCACAAGCCTTACAATGTTTGTCGAGGAATTCGCCATTTTGAGATCAAGACATCCTGAAATTAATGCGCAGTAATGCAACAGGCGAAGCCGCGTAAGGATGCTTGACAGCCACTTGGTTGTGAAAGTATGGTGGCCTGCTTGATAAGTGATCATACACTTTCTTATTCATTAACGTCAAATGTTCAGCTGCGGCCGGTTTTATCGCGAAGACTGAACTGGGCCGTAGCGAGGCTGAGTATGAGCGAACCGCCGGAACAGTGTCCCAGACGACGGCGAGATGCCGCGCGTGTCTGTTAGAGAGAGCGCTGATATTTTGGCTAGTATGAAAGCACAATATCCGGGAAGCTTCGACAAGGTAATCTATTTCAACTCCTTAGATTTACAGCGCGTTTCATAGTTATGAGGTCTCGCTCAAATTTTGCAATTCCTGAAGTAGTAGCCATCTGGGAATTTTCTGATTTCACCAATTGATCCCCGAATACGGTCCTCGCCATAGGATCTTTCCTATTCCAGGCCGATCCACCCTGAGGAGCATTAGAGAGAAGGACGTATTAGGACTAGTTATTGCACAAGGCTTAAGGTCCGGGTGCTTTCCAGCGCCAACGCACGTCTGATGCAACTGGGACGGCTGGCACGAACTGGCCCAGCTCTTATTCAAGCATCGCTGTGTGGCAAACTCGACCAGCGGAGAAAGATGGGCTGCAAATGAAAGAAGTGGAATTTGCGGGTCTCGCACAAGTTCTAGATGACGTGGCGTCCGCATTTTCATGCTGCAATAGGCGCGCGCGAATATCCAAGCACCAGTTCACCCGTCTACCACGCTCGGGTATGAAACAGGTGAGTGTGGCTGCAAATTGTGCAAAAACCAAAAATAATAATAATAATAAAGTAGAAGAAAAGCAACACCAGAATTGCTGTATGGGGAGTGGGTGGTGATTCATGATAAGGAATGCATTTGGTGACACTTGATAAAAAGATGCACAATAGGCTGTCTTCTCCGGAAGACGCTGTAAGTCGAGGTGTGACCTTGCAACCATGCAACCCACTATACTTACACTCGGTTTCCCATACCTCCAAGAGATTCGGCGCCCAGACAACCATGTGCTTCTTTTCGTTTTCAGGTTCGGACCGTCTATAGTGACTCAGGTGAACCAATGTTTGTGCTCATGAATGGTGACGGTGAGCAGGAAGAATTGGATAAGGAAGGACTAAAACTAATTACGGAGAATGCTGCTTCGGCTTCACAGACCAAAGATACTGAGCAGATACGAGGTTTTGCCATTCGTTTGTTTATCACAATCAGTAGATCAAGCATTGGTTTCTAATGGTGGAATCTAACCAAAATTGATGGTTGTTTCTGTATAAGCTTCTTGTTCTGAGAAGCGAACACTGCTGCATCCTTGATGATGCCTGCAACCCTCTTTCAGTATAGAACTTTATAAGCCCGTTCCTCCCAAAAATGGGTGATTGCAATAGGAAACGCGTCACAGTGTTGGATGAAGGGTATATTGTCAGAAACCCTTTAACGACCTTCTTATCATGGTTAGGACTTTCGGGGAATCTTAATGAAAAGAGTTTGTTAGGGTTAAACGTCGCGTTCGGTTAACTTTGGAAATTTCACGACCCCCTCGCTCCCAAGAGGTGATTTCTATGTATTTCACTGTAATGGTAATTGTAGCAGTGGGGTTGACACACGACCCTTCTAGGCCGCCAAGGTTATACCCTTCGCTGCAAAACGCTCATTCCCCCGCCCCCTTAGAGGGCCCACCTACCTTTCCACTAGGTATATTTCCTCTTCCTCGACCTCCGATCTTATAGTAAAATCCTCCTTCGATGTGATTTTCTTGTACGCTTCTATTACATGTAATTTTATTGTAGCTTCTTTCTTGCAAGCTTCGAATTCTGAAAAACAAACATGACATTTGGAACAATGTGATTCGTATGCGAATCTGCTAATAACGAAATTCCGCAATAAAGACCACATGTAAAGCACTTCAATTACAAAATATATCAGGAAAAACGGTTACAACATAATCGCTTCTCGGCCTTTTGGCTAAGATCAAAGTTTGGTTACAACGTAGGCCAGAGATAGTGCTATTACATATTAGAGTAATAATCTCTTTGTTAAGTTTGCAGACTAATATCAAAACCACTTCAATTCTAGAACAATGATGGTGAGATCTCAGCAAGCGATCTGAAACACGGAAAAGAGGTGGTGTTCGAGCTAAGCTATGACTATGTGAGTTTCCAGTACAAACTTTTCAAATCGAAACTCAAAAAGAGAGTTGGGAGCTGGCTTGTGCATGAATCTTCCCTTACGTATCTAACTTCAGAACAACTTGGATGCCGATGGGAAGCCGCAGAAACATTTGGTTCGTGTGACTCCGAGTAACGATCAGCTGCCAGGCCCCAAATTACAGCAGGTACCGGAAAGTCCGGTGGAATAAATTCTTCTAAGTGTTCAGTCAGTGTAACATACACTTTATAGCCAAATGCCGACAAACAGCGCGATTACTTCGTGGAAACGGAAGTTGAGGGAGAGGTGCCGATCGACCATGGCGAAGTATGTCACAGTATTAATGTAGCGTTCTTCTCATCCATTCTGTAATTGGTGGGTGCTTTAGGCGAGCGAAGTGTACTTCGCTAATTCGGATCGTGCAGATGCTGGTTCAGCAGATGAATCAACGGTCATACTGGGCGATATTTTCTTTATCGATTCAGATGGAAACGAGATTATTCAACGCAATACTGCACTTCCAGATGGCAGCATTGAAACACAGTACTTAGGACAGGTAGTATCGATTCTTTCTTATCTTCATTTTTCTTGAACGGATTCTAGCGCAGTTCACATCTTTAGCGTTCGCTTTTTACCCAGGCGAAGTTAGCCAAAAAACCGGGGTAGACAGTATTGAAAGCGGTTATTTTCCTAGAATTATAATTTTCAAGTGCGAGGTTCGAACGGATATTATCGCGAATTAGGATTTTTCGCACCGATAGTCCGGTTTGCCTGGTTTTCAATTTTCTGGTGATTTCTTGACTGTATATTTCGCATCTATTGTAATGGTATTTCTTTCATTCACCTTCAAATGTTGTGAAAAGTTGATGGCTTGAATTGAGTTTGGATGAAAAATTGATTTATCGGCCATTTATTTATTTATTATTTATTTATTTGGATATACAGCACAAGGTGTGACCTTTAGTATTTTGCAATAATTTCAAACGTTTATCTTTATCAGAACTCTGGTATTGCCTAGCTTTCATCCATCAGTGTAACTTCAGTTGATTCCGGGGATTATCTACTCCAATTCCTGGTTTTTATCTATAAGATTGCGTATGTATGGTATGAGGGGAACATTTTTGTTATAAAGCTTGAGTGAAAGGTCAGTGAAGTGGGTGGGGGTGGAAATTGGAATTTGAGGGATGAAAACTTTTTGGTGGTTGCAACTCGAATGGTTTTGAGAGGCATTTTTTTACACTCAATCGTTCACACAGATTGTGCCATGACTAGGGGGAAGTTAACAATTGTCAGAAACTGGTCTATGGGGAAAATTCTCTGCATCCATGATTTGCTTACAATAATCCAACCTGCAACTTTGTAACTCATCTGCCCAACTGTTGGCCTATTTAAAAGCTTCACTTTTTTTTCAGGCAGAAGATGGCTCTCTATTCGTACTGAATGACATTGTCTCAGCTGGTCTGCACCCTTCTGCAGGCAGTGTGGAAGAAGTGTATGACGATGACGAGATAATGGGTGATGCTGCGGCGCATGAATTGGTGCTACAAGAGGAATATGAAAATCAAAGAAACGTTTCTGATCATCAATATCAAGGCGTTGCTCAAGACGGCGTACCAAGGAGGACATGGAGAGTTGGTTGAGGTTTCTGAGTTTAACGAGGACAATGCTGTGATGGTGGAGAGTCCGTACGATGGAGGAGTTGTTGTGATGAATGAAGACTACTCACATGAAATTGAAGAAGAAAGTCAGCCACATTATAGTGATCAGGTGGTGGTCGAGGAGCATTTTGTTGGGGATGGAATCGGTATGAACGAGGAGGGGTTCAGTGGAAACCTTGCTGCTGAGCATGTTGGTGCAACCACCGACGATCGGAGATTTAATCGCGACGCCTCAGAAATCGAGCACTCATCTGTTACCGAATCGCAAGAGAACGTCATCGAAGAAGGTGTTGGAGAAGAGGTCATGCAAGATGTGCAGGGTCATTACGAGTAGCTACTTTCGTTCTATATTGTACGCATTTTAATGCTTCCCTTTTCCTATTGGGAATTTTTGTCATTTTTTATGAAGACCGTGATGTAGAATTAGTTGTTGAGATGAACTCAGGTGATTTTTGTATGAGCATAGTATAATTTCTGAAGAACTACACAAAGTCTTCGAATAAGTTATTATTATCAATGTAAAGGAGAGTTGCATAGGGTGGATCAGGAAGTTGGAACAACTATGTTACAAGTTTAGTCTCGAAGGAGCTACTGCATGGTTTCTTGTTTCTGTTTTATCAATGTTCCAATGAGGTTCACCACTTAATTTTCATGCTAAGGACTTTCTTGCCCCGATTCCGAACCACCCTATGCAGTAATATTTGTTGATATGTCTGCCTCGATCGTTTTGTCAATAATTTTCATGTTTTTTTTTCTCCGAAGGGTACGTTTAATTGTGCTGTTGGTAGAGAAATTATATTGCTACATTCTTCATAGATACATTTTTGCACCGTTTACGCCTTACATATTTTGTACTGCTATTTTTGTACATTTGCTGATGTAAGCAATTATCCAAATTTATGTTTTTCTTTCAATTTAGATCATTGGTCGGTTTTAACCCAGTAAAGTCAGAATATCATGTGTTTTCGTACTTGGCAATCGCGATTTCACAACCATAATGGTGGTGTTTTTCGTACGATATCGCGCTACGCTGATTTCATTCAAGGCACCATTCTGGATCGAATTTGTATGTTATTTTGTTCGAAAATCAGGCAAGAAGTGCGTTGGGAAACGCCAGTGGGAAAAAGAAACTGCGCCAGTAAACAGCATCTCCGTTGAGTGCCGTCTGTGACGGAAGACAGCGTTCTAGAGGGGAAACGAGAGTACTTTGTGCCGAAAGTAGGCGCCAACGCGACGCATGCCGCTACCCACAGGAAATTGAACACCTGCACACCAAGGCCTAATACCACGATGGCTGAAAGCTTGAGCGGGAGACAAAAATATGTGGCGCTTTCGGCAAAAGCGCCCTTTTAGCAAAGTTGCATGGTGCAAGAAATGTGCAACGGAATCCAAACATACTGAATCTCCGACGTGTTGCGTGATTTCCTCGAGATCTTTAACACCTTGGAGCCCACTCAACCATATGTTGATGCAGCTCCACGCGTAGACTTCAGCTCATTTCGTAACATTAATGTTTTCATTCTTTTCTTTTCCGATTCTTTCTTTCTCTATCTTTATACCGACAAGTTTTCTCTTGTGTTGATCACAACGTTCTTCTTTGAATTGCTATAAGATCCCTAAAACTCACCAAATCCACCGCGCCGCGAACGTAAAACATTGCGGTTCTCGTTAATTATGGATGATCTGTACTGTTTTGACTGTGTGCCAAACGATTTTTAAAGATTGAATGTTGCCTGCGCTTTAACACCACTTCGGTCTTCTTATCAAAGAGGCTGGAGATGTCTAGCTTATTGATTCGTTAAGTTAATTCGATCCACGCTTACAGTATTCTCGCGTCAGAGAAGTGATAGATACTACGTTGTTTTGTATATTATTTAAAATTGCATATTCACATCAAATGCCGATTCAAGAAAACACATGGAGACTATGAGCATAAGCTCTTTGCTCGCCGTCACTATCACGAATTTTGGTGCGCGTCGCGAAACTGCAGAAGTAATGAGCACAGCTTACCTGAGTATTAGACTTAGAGATTCCCAAACCGAAATTACGAGCGCGACTTTTGACACCTCTAAAGGGATTCACCACTCGGGAGCATCGAGGGAACTCATTTAGTGAAAGACATAGCTGAGTGTGGGCCAGCAGACGACAAGGAGAGGCGGGAAAGTCTTTCTGCGACGAATATGCCTCCCCGAAGCGCCCTCCCTTCGCGCTGTACGTGACTATTTTGGCGGGACGGCTTTTCGCGTATCGTGTCGTGTTCTCTACGTTTCAGCAGAGCGATTAAGCGTTGAAAGGAGGGGCAGCAACTGATGAACTCGGGTTCTAGCCACTATATCGATGCTTATTTTTCATACGACATGCCTAATTAAAATCTACCTTAGATTCTGAGGGTGCACCTTGCTAAGTCGTAAACTCAGCCATTTTAATATGACTTGTGATGTCAGAGATAAAGCCGTGAAAGGCTACCTAAGGTCTGTCACTTAAGGCAGCGGCGGCGCGTATTGCGAGTGTGAGTATTTCCCAGGTTTGTTTTCTATGTGATGCGCGAAAAGATCCAGCCTTGTGGTAATTAGGCGAATCTGTGGCAGAATTTTGTACAGTGTTTATCGTAACGAATCACATTGAGAATATATGTTCATCACCCGAATCTATCGAACATATATAAATAATCACAATGAAGAGATGAGAAAGGCAGAAGTGGAGAACTCTGATAAAAGCAATAGCGAAAGGAACATATTGCAGAGCTGGCAAGTTTGGTGAGCAAAGAGCGACGAGGGTTCGATCTCGGCAGTAGAAATTACAGCAGAGTGCATGAATGGCAACCGTAGATATGGGCTGTGTATTAGACATATGCATTATAGAAACTCCGAAAAAAAAAAACGAAAAGAAACCCGGTACAATTGGAGTCACCGACGGAGAGTGAGCTCGGCAAAGTGAAGTTCAGTGCTTCGTCACTGATGTGGATTTCTGGCTGGTCACCATCTGAACATCAATATTAAGTGCTAATTTTGCCGATAATGGATTTTTCAGTAGGGCATAACGCATGTTTACATATACGTTCGGTCCTCTGTGCTTGCGCCACGGCGTTGGAAACACCCAAGGGTTTGTGCTAATATATCTAGCTGCTAGTATCTGGGTATCGTTCTGAGCATAATGGTGACGCTATCTGGTGGCTGGTCTATGTCGATGTAGCACGTAGCGCGAGAATTCCGGATATTATTTTTTTTTATCGTACTCCCCTCTTTTTAGGAAATAGCGGACGATCATCAACAACAACCTATGATTGTGGAACTCGTGTTAATCCCTTCAATTGGGCCATTTGGCTTTGTTGCTATTTACAAGTATACGACTGCTATATCATATACCAAACTGCTATGCAGTTGAGCGTTGGTGAATAGCATCAATTGTCCCGTCTGATTTTTTTAGTTTAACGACTTCAGTGAAAAGAATATAGTGGAAACTATAGCCTAATACGGACCTAAATGGAGCGAGATGGCAACTCGAGCTCCGTGAGAAACCGACTCAGCCTGTGTGAGATTACGATTGTCCCACTAATAAGCCCAACTCACCACACAACAAAAAGGACTGAGCCGGGCGAATTGTCGCGACTATTGTTAGAATAATTCAATACTAGGAGTGGGTGAGAAAGGTTCGAACCTCTGAGCGGAATCGCTCCGATTCGCCATTCCTAATTGGTTCATAGTGGTGCGAGTGAGAGACACGAGTGTGGACATCTCCAACCTCATGCTCCTCGGACTGCGACATATCCTGCTCCTAAAAACGTCAAAACGTCCATCAAAAAATTGAAGAGGTTGGAACTCCGCGTGGAGGTATGACCAAGAATGAAATGCCCTGGAACTCACCGAAGAGTACTCGACAACATCGCGTTCCCGTGTCAAGTAGTCCTTCGACTTTGCCCGTCCAATAGAAAACTCGGCCACACTTTCACCACGTTCACGTTCTTCGGCACCAGAATGACGGTATTGTCGCTAAAAGTACTACCTCTCAGTTCTGCATCGTTATTCTGGTTACCTCAATTCTCCTTACGTCGCTAAACGCTGCAGCGTTCGAGTATTCCGCATTTCGAGCCGCGTACGATGAAGAATCCCCGACAAGGACAGAGGTACGCGACGCCTGAAATGAAGTTTTTAGAAAAAAATGACTTAAAAATTCAAATTGGCTGGCGATAGGCGCCAATAAAGTGGTTCAAAAAATTCAACACATTCATGACGACGCCCTTCTTTGTTTTCTGGTAGGACAAGTGTGATTTTGCCGCCGCCGCACCTACGATTCGAGTATTTTTTGCAGTAATGAATTAAGGGCGGAAGTGGTGTAGTGGCAAGTGGCGCGCTTACCACGCGAGCGGTCCGGGGATCAAATCCTGGGTCGTGAGTCGCCCGGGCCAACCAAGCCTTCCATCCCTCCGGGGTCGGTTAATTGGTACCAGACTTGTCTGGGAGGATAAAAACACTTGTACATCGGCTGGCCCCGCAAGTCATTGTATAGGCCACATCGCATTCAAACGCCACTACGAATGTACAAATGGAAGTAGAATGCGTGCCGCATCCCAAAAAGGGATTGATCAACGGCAAATGCTTTTATCCTTTATGTTTTTGAATGAATAAAAACCCTTGATAAATAGCACAAAGCAATTTTTGTATTCTATAAGACGTTAATTTTCTGATAAACATGCAAAAACGACAAACGGTTGGAGACGATTATTCACTGGCACTGGCAGGCCATGTGGGTTGCCACCGGCGTGTATGTGTTGGAAGGTCATCTTGCAGACATCTTCGCATGCCCCAGGCAGCCACGCCCTTCACGTCGCTAACTGGGATGAAACGAGTGCATCCCAAGAAGGCTCGTTACTGCGCGTTGCTCAGAGGCGACCATATGGAGATTAAGCAGTGGGAAAATGTTTTAGGGAAACTCAGAAAGGCGTCGCCTAAGAGAAGGTCGAGGAAATGGTAAAGAAGTGGAGGACTTTGCGAGGGAATGGTTGATGTCCGAATGATAAATCGTTGAAGAACTGACCTCCGCTGCATTCTCTCCGTGAGATACGGTATGCTGTGGATAAGCGTACGTTTCAGCAGTGGTCGTCACTATGTTTCCGGCAGCATCGGTGGTTGTTGTGGTCTTGATTTCTTTTGTTGTGTTACCCTTACCATGGCAGAGACGAATTTATTCTTGTGGGACACGGCCGATGATATTGTCCAAGGGTTAAGCTCTTCGCCCTGGTAAAGAACCTTCCCATCACTTCGTTCAATCTCTTCCTTGATAGTGTATTCGCTAGAGGCATCAGACATGCTGTCACAAGTCTCATTTAGACGACCGCTGCTTCCGACCAGATGAGCCCGTGGAATGCGAACGGCACCTGAAACGGTAGTGTGGAGCAGTGGAAACATAATTCCTCTCATTACGTCGAGTTTTGAAGGCCAGAATACGATATCCACTTCTAAATATATTGAGGAAGAAGTAGATGGGTTGCTTGAAATAACGTGCGCCTGTATCTCGAAAAATCACGGAACCAGAGATCAACCGTGGCCTTCAGCCTAGTTCAAAACTTTGCACGACTCCTCCCTTTACGGACTCATTACGACCCCGTACCACTGCACGTCTTGAAGGAAGAGGGGGCACCCAATAAATACGACCTCTACGGCTCTTCCCTTCTCGCATCCACTCCCCTCCCCCCACTAGGGCTGTTTCAATAGCATTTGATTCTGAAACCAAGGCCAGTCGACACACTTCAAGTCCGGCCGCTTTGTCCCTCTACGACCGCTGGAGTGACTGAGAGAGGGATAAAATATTGCCGGTGAAGAATGGAAATGTAACCATAGTGTTTTGAGAAAGGCTAACGTCTTATTCGTTCCCTTAGTTTTTTTTTACTTTTCCTCTCTTCCGGCCTCCGTCTCAAACCAATCGCGCAACACGACCGTCCCCAGTGGAATGGCGCGAACCGGACGTAGATTTTGGAAGAACAAACCAAAAATATAAACATGTGAAATACAGGCTGCATTGTTGTCAACGCGGAATTCCTGAAAACCCATGCCCCGCGATCAGTTTCATTGTGAAGTGTCCTAGAAGACGAAGTTGTTGGCTTCGCCACTCGGTAGACAGCTCGCTGCCGAATTTGCGCTTCGAAACGCGTCTATTAAGCACGCTAGGGTTGTTCGCGGACCTTACCACCTCTCCACGCCCCATGTGCGGTGACGACCCACCCAATCGCAACTCGATACCTCACCCTCTTTTGCCATAGTCGCTGATCTGCTATGATCTCTCCTCTCGGAAACTCTTCTCTGTTCTCGGAAACAACGAGATCTTATTATTTCGCAGTGAGCTGCCTGAACTCGTCGACGGCGTAGAGCAAGGAGGGCCGTGTTTTCAGTGTTTTTGGAGATTTGTTTTCGTTTTTTCTTCAACTGACGGCCTTCTTCGCATCTCTACTCTAATATTCGAGTGAAGGCAACACACCAAATCGATCAAGGATTGTGCCTTTGAGTCTTTTCTATAAGCTACGAAGTCCGGTACCCTCCCATGACCACTCATTTTCAAGCGCTTCAACAGGTCAGTTGTTGCACTCCGAACCGAGATAGTCCTGAAAAGCAATAGAAGACATACCATCGGACAGATACTGCTCCAACCTTGCGACGTCCATGGACTTCGCGCCGGCGTCCGTTACAACAGCACCAGCCTGAATGTGATGAAGTTAGTTTGAAGAGTTTGAAGAATTTCTTTTGGTTCCATGTTTTTAGAATTCTCTCCAATGCCAAAAGATAGCTTTACTGGAAGACCTTTAATTTTGCTCTCGGAATTCCAATATCTGGGTAGTAGTCGTGACCAGCGGCACTGAGCGCTGAGAATTCGGCTCCGCTTTCAGAAGATGAAGAACCTTCGAGCGTTGACCATGGCCAAGCCCCTCCGCGTCTGAAATGCAGTGTGATGAAGAGAATGTAGCTATTGCATAGCGAATACACCTACCGATAGACAAATGGCGCTCCACCGGCTATACCCCTTGCTTTGAAGCAATGACATTTCGTGCAGAAGTAGAGTAGACAAGCAAGAGGGTGAGCAGGAGGAAGAGTAAGGCAAGCAGGATCAGCAACACAAGCGACGCATTTGATGGGGCAACCTGGAATTGACGCAATAGCTAGTACTGACAGAGAGAGAGCCTTCAGTGGCGTACCTGGCAGAACTCGCCGCTCCAGCCTTCACTGCAGACACAAGTGATGTTGTTTGTTTGAGCGTTGTGAACACAGTCTCCGTGAGAATTGCACAAATCGCAGAGCAGCGCTCCACAGACTCGACCCGGCTCGTCTGGACTGCCATCGATGTAGCCTTCAGGGCATCTGCAGGTGTAGCCGATTGGTCGGTCAATGCACTCGGCCACTCCTGAAAAATCGTAAATGTAGGGAATAATTACTCGCACAGAGTGATCACGAGTTGCTTTACTACTTTGTTGAAGAGATTAGTTCCTCGTGAACCGCGAACTGATTATTCCCATAATGCGCACGTCAAAGCGCGAGACAACCGCAAACATGAGGACTTAGCAGCGACCCGCGGGTGTTGGACGCTCAAATTGACGCGTCCCCATGAACGTTATTACTGGTGTCATCAGTGATACAGTTTTTTGAGGAGGTAAGGCCCAACTCGCTTTTCGCATCAAAAAAAGAAAACGAATGCATCAATTAAAACCGCTCCGCTTCCTGAGCCATCGAGTTCACTGCGTAAGAAGGCGTGCTCCACATTTTCCTTTAGGAGGCATGCCGTCTTTTGAGCGGCCAGTATTGAGGCTTACCTGAGCAGTTGGTGAGTCCGAGAGCACATTCGTTCACGTCCCTCACATGCATGCATAGAGTGTCGTCGCCTAGTCCAATGGCGTTACGGTGTTCACTTTTTCTGAAAGTCAATGGGCGTGGTTAAAAGGACGAGGAGTGAGCCAATTGCTAATCCTACCTAATGTCTGTGAAGCCGGGGTCACATCGGCATTCGGCCTGCTGTTCCATGTTCTTGCAAGTGGTATTCGTAGGACAGAAGTTCACATCACTACAGTAGTCAAGAACGCAGACGGATCTGAAGCTGTGTTTGAGGCAACGGGTTCAAAGGTGGCAAGGGAGATCAGCAGGAAAGGGGCAGGTAAGAAGAAGCAATACCTGGAACGGCTCCTGGAGGAGCAGCGTCCGAATACGACGGTAGGCATTCGCATTTGTAAAGATGTCAGATCGATGCAGCGAGCATTCTCCGAGCACTCGTTGTCCTCCTGAAGATTTAAAATCATCTACAATTCCTCTCAGGGCTGCGTTTCTTACCTTCTTTTTCGCATTCGTTGAATCCGTAGACAGGGACGCATTTCTTCCCAGGATCCGAAGGATCGAGTTCTCGGAATCCGGCACCACACTCGCATCGATAAGTCCGATCGTTGACGTCATAGCAGATTCCCTTTGGATGGCAGTCATTCTGGAAATGTCGGAATTGAAGAGGTAAAAGTCGAAATGAGTGAGTAGGCCAACCTTGAAGCAGGGTTTGTAGGGATTCGGTTGGTACTCGTTCAGATACAGTCCACTGTCACCAACTTCATAACCGTTTCGTTCAATGATGTATCGGACCAGTTCATAGTAGACATCTGACGGTATTCGGACAGCTCCTGAAAGTGTTCCCTTTCAAAAAGAAAAAAATGTTATTTTTCCAAAAAATTTCTCGAAAATTATAGCCGTGGGTGCGGTTGCGTCGCCCTCAGCAAATCGATGGGAGGGACAGATTGTGCTAAGGAGCAATAATGTTGACAGGGCACGTGCACTATTTCGGTCATGAATCCGATATCTGAACGATTCGCAGTAATCCTTACTGATGGAGACTAACCTTTTCTGAAGTGAACTGTGGTGTTGAACAGAAGTCCACTTTCCCAGCTGGCATTCATCATCTGAAACCGAACCACCATTACAAAGTAATTGTGGCACAAAGTTGGATTGAAACAAGGGCAGTCGAACTTGGAATTGAATAATTACCCGTGGATTGACGATTTCGTTCACGTCAGCGGCGACGAAGGCATTGCGAAGAGTCGTGTGGGGGTAGCATCCACCAATTCCACGCTCGTAATCACGAACGTATGACTGAAATAGAGACGATGCAATTTGCCTATACATCTCAAGGTATTAGCGATTCACTTGCTTCTTTCGCCCTGACAGAGTGTTCACCGTAACTTTTCATTATATAGCTGACGAGTTTGGTGAGTTTTTTTTTAAAGACTTAAAGCTAAATAGCTCTTCAATGCTACAATCCTACACAAGCGAAAACTTGACTTCCTGTGGAACAGACATTGCCAATAAACTGACTTATTTGTGAACGCACCTTATACGTGGAATCCATGGGATTTGCGAATGAGTCATTGTAGATGAGATTCGTGTGTTCTTTGCGTATCACGAGAAGTGGAACGTTCCATGATTCAACGGCACGACATACGTCCGTGGAAGCGGCACGGCGCATTCCAACTGGACAACCGCACACAGAACCGGCTATACAAAT